TTGAATATTAAATAATAATATTTATTAAGATTTGATCATATTGTGCCAGTGCTTTATGAGCTGTGCTGGCTCCGTGTCCATTTCTAGGCCCAATTAAAACTGTTGCTCTTAACCTTTGAAATCTGTAACAAATTTGGGCCATGATTCTTACAATTTCTTTGTATACCAACCCAAACTGTGAGATATTTTTCAGAGGATCTACTCCAGGCACCCCTGCTCAGAATACCAAAGAGGACTTTCTCAATAGTTGAACCTAAATTGTGAAATCTCCTTTCTGGTGAAGCTCACCTTGCACTTTCTTTGTGGTCATTAATGGTGCCAGATGAAGAGGTTTTTATACTCCCAGGCCAAAATCCCTGTTTGTGTGCCATTTACATTTCTAGCTATCCATTTTTTATTCTTCTCGAAATGTTTATGCTGCAATCTGTTATTTTATTACATATTACTTTTTATTGTTTTATTTGTGAGCAGTCTGCCCTAGAGAGCAATGTTATTGAGCGGTGTTATATACAAATAGTAAACAATCAAACAACATACAAACAAATGCATATTGTCTAAAGTAATGAGTGCAGTGTTTTCTCTCACCCTCATGAGAAGTGTGAGGGTAATATGGGGCAAAGTCACAATTTGGGGTCATGGAACTTGATTTAGATCTGCTATGACTAAGGGGGTTCACAATGTGTGGGGATGGCAAATCTGTGACATTTCAGATATTGTTGGACTACAACTTCTGTCAGTCACAACCAACATGGCAAATGTTTAGGGAGGATAGGAGTTGTAGTCCAATAACATATTGAGGACTACAAACTCAGCCCACAAGCTGTATAACTAGATAGCTTATGACTGTCTGCGATGGGCCACCATATGCAACTGATGGACTGTAATCAATATGTTGGGTCACAAGTTGTGTAGGCTTACTTAATACAGTCATACCTCGGCTCCCGAGCACCTTGGGAGTCGAACGTTCTGGCTCCCAAATGATTGATAACCGAAAGTGAGTGTTCCGGTTTTCGGATGTTCTTTTGGAAGCCAAATGTGTGGCGAGACTTTCACTATTGTTTCCGGCCATGCCTACGCAATCAGAAACCAATTGGAAGCTGCGCCTTGGTTTCCGAACATTTCGGAAGTTGAATAGATTTCCGGAATGGATTCTGTTCTACTTCAGAGGTACAACTGCACTGGCTAATGTGTTGGGACAGTTAACCTAATTAAAATGAAATAATTTAATGATGTGTGTTCCTATCTCTCTGTCTTAATATCTGATCAACTTTGATGCTAAAGACTCACTTTGAAATATACATAAATGCTTCTTTCTAAAAGGTGATACATAGATGTGTCTTACCAAAAGGCAATTGCCTGCAAAAACATTTCATTGCGTGGACAGGCGGAGTCCCCAGATCCCGAGCGGTCCCCCGCCCCGTCATGTGGAATAACGACTCAAGACAACATGCTATGGGATTAAATTGGCCACAACTTTATTAAATTTCAAATGTGGGTTGACCTTGGCTCAGGCATTGGGTGTTCTCCCTCCCCAGTCCCCAGACCTAGGGAGCATCAGGGTTATCCAGTGTGTAGGGGGGGGATGGGCCAGCTCTGGAGAACATATGTTCAAGCAGAGATAGCCGCCCCCGTTACGCCGCCGCCGCAGGGGAGAGCAATGACGACCTTTCGGCGTACGGTCAAAGCCTCCCTTCAGAAACCCCTTTAACGGGGAACCCTGGTATCGCCGCCGCAAAGAGGAAGATGGACTAAAGGATTCCGCCCAAGGCCTGATACCGCCAAAGTTGTGACGTTTGCTACGGGAAAGGCGAAACCTGCCAATGCAGGGAAATTCCTTTCCGGCCCTTTAACAGCGACCTTATCGTAGCAGCGCCCGCATACCTGTGAAGAAAAGATAGCCTGCAAAACCTATGAAGAAAAGTTAACCTGCAAAGGAAGACATTAACTGAGGGTGGGGAGGGTGGGAGAAGCTCTGGAGCCAAGTGAGGATTCCCAGGTAAGATCCTCCCTCTATTGTGTGGGCAGGTAATCCCTCCCCTACCTGGCCTGGTCTCCTTGGCAACGCTTCCCACAGGTGGGATTGGACAACTGACTGAGGTAGGCGGGGACCTCCAGGTATCCTACCTGAGGGAAGGCAAAGCCAAGCCTATGCTGATGGGGCCGCTCCAGATCTAGGGCTGCGCGCGTCCACGCAAAGGGCGCCCCCCGTTTTACGCGGGGAGCGGTCATTATGGACTGAATGCTTAATTTTTCCCTATCAAAAAAACAAAACAAAAACCCAGTTGTACTTGTCTTCCTATTGAATAAATATCAAAGATGAGAGGGTAAGTATGCTCTGTACATTTTTGTGCTGAACATAATCATTTGCGCAGAAAGGCTAATTAATATGAACAACCACATAATCCAACATTCCGCATTGATATTGATGCCTTTTAATATTCTCTTGCCTGGCTCCGAGTGCTAATTCATGCAACTTTTCTGCTTTCAGCACTACTACTGCATCAACATGCCACCTAAATAACTGTAATTAAGCATTCTCTGTAGTTGCTGATTACAGTATGCTGATGAACATTCCCACTGGATTTTAACAGCCTCTTTCATAACAACTACAATAATCATCTCATATTATAATGTCTGTGCTTCTAAAGACTTCTTAAATAATCTAAAATTTAAATTGTACTGACTGTTGATTATTACAATCTAAAGTTCAACAGGAGCTTAATCAAAAAGGTTCAAGTATTGCATCACTGACATCTATTAAGCAATATACATCATGGGAAATAAATGCTAAAGCTGTTTAGTCTTTGAACCAAAGTAAACTTTTAAAAAAGAGTGCAGAAGCCTGATTTCCTACTTACAAAGTGACATTTTAATTTATCCTTTTGCTGCAATGAATAAAACAATTTTGAGGCTTTTTTAAAAAGAAAAAGAAGAAAAGAAATAACAATGCTTTCAACAACAATTTGCTATTTAAGAAAATATTGCAGTGAAAATGAATGACAGCTGAAAAGGACAAGAACCAATTACAAAGATGCAGAGTGCATTCACATTATTTTGTCTGACTTTGAGAGGTATGAGTGTGCTAGTCAGTGTACAGCCCAGTGTCATATGTATGCTGGGCAGAAGCTGTAAGTGAATGCTTGGTTCAAGGAATGTCTCTCTCTCAGGAATAGCCAACATGGTGCCCTCTACTGTTGCTGGACTACAGTTCCCATCAGCTCCAGCCAGCACGGCCAATAGGCAAGGAAGATGGGACTTGTAATCCACAAATGTCCTTCAGCATTTCACAGGGACTCAAGTGGCATCCATGTCAGGATTGACTTTCACAAGCTGAAACTTGTGCACCTTCCTGGAGGTCACCACATTGACTTCCCCAATCTGTTTCTTAGGGAAGAAGCTCATTCCTTTGAGGCCAAGGTAACCAACCTAAAGAAGCTGATGCAGGAGATGTTCAGGGATGTGGTGGATGCATATCTTCCCATACTGATGACTAAAGACCTGGTGTCTTAGAAATGAAGGCATCATTCTGGGAATACACAAAGGACCTATTTCTGGAGTGACAAACTGAAATCCTCTTTCAATGGCAAGAATTAGGGTCCAAAGTATGAGAGTGTCGGGCTGGGAATAGGGACGAGACATTGTTTTATCCTTGCGGCAACCCTAAGAGTTATGTTGCACTGATAATTTTGCCCAAAGCCATCTAGTGAGCTTCACAGCTGAGAAGGAAATTGTAATTTGGTCTTCTCATATCTAAATCTTGGCCTCAGGAAATCTCTTGGACTATATCATCTTTCCAACTGTTGACATTTCTTAACTGGATATTCCACAGGGTGGGGAGACTACTACATTTGTCTAGTTGAAAGCTGATTCTTTCATATGCAACACTGGAAATGTTCAACACAAGATAAATATTTTATGAAGTGGTTGGTGTATAATCAGGTGCAATATGATAATGCACACCTATGATGGGATAGTTCTTGTTAGTTCTTGTGTTACACTGGAGGGCAGTCGCTCTGTGGACTCGTATTTTTGAAGGCTTCACCATGTGGTGGTGGGAAAGAGAATCCTTGCATGTGGTAATTTAGAACAGCAGGGGAAAATATATTTGCATACCCATCTCCTAAGTATGCCACTTTCCTACAGAAAAGTGGATGAGCATTCAAAAATAGAACTCTCTTGAATTAGTGCAGTTCAGACTTAGGCTACTTTACAGTGTAATCCTAGCCATGTCTACGGAGAAATAAATCCTACTGAATTCAATGGAGCTTCCTTCCAGAGAAGTAGGATTGCAATCGCAACCTCAGTCTGACACCTTATTTTTCATAATATTTATATTTGCTTTCCAGATTTTCATCTACCTCTGCAATTCACTTCTTGCCACTATTTGGATACATGCTGACACCACACACAGGTAAATGCAGCCAGGTACTCATTGGAAAATGCAACCAAGAACAGGAGCAGGGCATATGTTAATTAGGCTTGTAAAAATGGCATCAGGGGGGAATTTTGCCGAATCGGCAAAATGTCAGGGAAAACCTGGATGTATGGAAAAAGCAGCGAAAACAGCTCCAAAAACTTGAGGAGATCACTATTGGGGGGGGGGAGATTTCTCCCAAAAAGCTTCACAATTTTGGGGTTTTCCTAAAACTTTGCTGGTGTCAGGAATTGTACTTTTTGAAATATGGCAATCCTATGGCACTGTGGGTTAAACCACAGAGCCTAGGACTTGCCAATCAGAAGGTCGGTGGTTTGATTCCCCGCGACGGGGTGAGCTCCCGTTGCTCGGTCCCTGCTCCTGCCAACCTAGCAGTTTGAAAGCACAAAGTACAAGTAGATAAATATGTACCGCTCCTGCGGGAAGGTAAACAGTGTTTCCATGTGCTGCTCTGGTTTGCCAGAAGCGGCTTAGTCATGCTGCCCACATGACCCAGAAGCTGTACGCCGGCTCCCTCAGCCAATAAAGCGGGATGAGCACTGCAACCCCAGAGTCGGTCACGACTGACTTCCGAGGGGCGGCGCGAACGGCAATGGCGGTCCTCTTCTGAACGGGAGAGGAGGCTCCGCAGAAAACGGGTCGTCCGCTACGGCGAAGCGGAGACCCACTCCGGAAAACCCCAGGCAGCAAGAGCTTGGGGTCTTGAGGCTCGGTGGGCGCCTTAAGTGACCCTCCAAACGCAGAAGGAACCTCGTAAGGGGCTCCGGAGCGTGGAGGGGGGTTGCGGCGCTGAGAGCTGCTTCACAGTCTGCGGAGTGAAGCCGCGCTGCTGCTGCCGGTGAGCGCTGATCCTTTTTCCTGCTAAAATACGGATTCGGACGAAAAGCAACTTACTCGTGAGTAAAGACTGAATCACTTGAAATCAGAGACTTTAAATGAAAAACCTTAAATTGGCTTGAACTTGGCTGAAAGCGGAGAGACGTGGAAACAGGAAGTCCGTCTTCCGCAGCCATTGAACTTGGAAAAAGCAACTAAGTTGGAGGAGTGGAGGCTGAAAGGAAGAGATTTTAAACTTTACAGATCTAAGCATCTACTGAACTTGCAATTTAAAGTAAAGACTTTAAGCTAAAGACTTGGAATTTTAACTTGCACTTGACTTTCCCCTTTTATTGGATTACAAATTAGAAGGTGAAACCCAGAGTCAGGAGCTGCCTGAGCATTGAGAAATTGAGCTGTCAGTATTGCAGATTTGGATACTGTATATTGGAACTTGCAACAATCTGAGGGTATTGAGACTTTTTAAATTTGAAACATTCTTTTTGGAGATAAATAAGCACTGTCTGTAACAAAGTGACTACTTATAAACTCTGCTAAATATTTATATTTGAAGGTTCTTGGACATTAAATTAGACTCTGAAAGACATTTTAAGCTCCCTCTAGAGGATTGGATGAAAACAGTGACTTTACATTTACATTTACTTTCGATTCCCTTGTTGTTTGCTTGCTCTGGGCCTTTCTATTCCCATGGGAAAAACTCAGTGTGACCTTGACTGATAGACAACGTTGGAATGAGTGGCACAAGGAAAAGAGGGAGAGTTAGACAAACAACTTTAACAACTCTAACCTCAGCCTCGCAGACACGTAGATCATCTGTACCTACTTTGCCCTCAGAAGTAGAACTTGAAGAAGTTGCCTTGCCACAGGCAAAAGAGGGAGAGGGTGAAGCAGAGCAGTTACAATTGGAAGATATGGCCTCAGGAGTATCTGTTTCTGTTCTAGACAAAATCTTTGAAAAATTGGAAGCTTTGGACAAGAAAGTAGATGCGCAATCAGCAAAGATTGACAAAAATACAGAATGTCTAAATAAATTAACCATACAAGTTGTACAGAATACACAAGCAATTGGACAGTTAACGGAGGCCTCAGCAGAAAATCGGAAATTGGCTGAGGATACTAGACAAAAATTGGAAAATTTAGAGCAAGAGGTAAGACCACTCACCAAACAAGTTGGGGAACATCAGACTTATCTTTCCATGATAGAACTGCGAAATCGTGAGAATAATTTGAGGATTAGATCATTACAAGAGGCAGAAGAAGGAAATTTAACTGAGTTTTTGACCAAAGAATTTTCCAAGTTCTGGAATTTGGAAGAAAAGGATTTTAAAATTGTGTCGGCTTTCAGACTTGGAAGATTCACAAAGAAGGAGAGGCCCAGAGACTGTTTGATTACATTGAGATCAAAGGAGGAAAGGGATAAGATTTTGGGCCTACATTACGGAAAGTCACTGGAGGTTTTGGACAGAAGAATTGAAATTTATAAAGATATTCCAAGACAACTGCTGGATCTTAGAGCCGCCTATTCTGAACTTGCTAAACTACTAAGGAGCAACGCAATTCCATTCAGGTGGGAATTTCCCCAAGGAATATCTTTTACCTTTAAAGGGAGAAAGGTCAAAGTTAGAACATTGGAAGAGAGAGACAAATTTTTGGCTACATACGGAGAGGACCTTCAAAAAGGAATTGAATTACCTTCTGGGCCTGGGGCAAAGCCAGCATTAACACCAGCACCTGGGGAACCTGAAGATCCAGAGAAGACACCACCCCTGGAGAAATAACCAGATAGATCCAGGATGTCTCTGCAATTGCTGAGTTGGAACATTAATGGTTGTAACATTCCGGAAAAAGGAAGAAAATATTTCATATATTAAAAAAAGAACAATTGGACATTATCTGTTTACAAGAAACACATGTGACGAGGCTCCACAGAAAAGTGTTAATAAATAAAAGATTGGGCCAGGAATTTGTTTCGTCGGACAAAGTTAAGAAGAGAGGCGTGGTGATATATGCAAAAGAGAGCCTGTCACCTAAATTCTTATTTAAAGATGAACATGGAAGAATTTTGGCCATTGAGATACAATATCAAGGAGAGAAACTGTTGATATTAGGAATCTATGCACCTAACGAAGGGAAATCGGAATTTTACAAGAAGCTGCAGGGGACAATGCTGGAATATCTGGATTACAACAACATCATAATGATGGGAGACATGAACGGGGTCGTGTCAACTAACATGGACAAGTCACAAAGTCAAAATGTTACAAAAGACGGCAGACTACCTAAAACTTTTTTGAAATGACTGACAATATGGATTTGATTGACATTTGGAGGACAAAGAACCCACTAGGTAGAGAAGGAACATTCTTTTCTGAAGCCCAACTGACCTGGACAAGAATCGACCAAATATGGATTTCCAGAGGCCTGGCACCTAAGGTCAGAAAAGTGGAAATCTGCCCAAAGACCTGCTCTGACCATAATGCAGTAAAGATGGATATGACACTACTACCAACTGGATCCTTTAGATGGAAGATGAACGACAATTTGTTTAGAGATCAGGAAATTACCAAGAAGGCCCAAAAAGTTTTGAAGGACTATTTTGAGATAAACATGAACAATTCGGTGGAAAAAGAATTGTCTGGGACGCAAGCAAAGCTGTAATGAGGGGATTCTTGATACAACAGAATGTAGTAAAGAAAAGAACACAAAATGAGAAAAAGATAAGATCTTGGACAAATTAAAGAATTAGAGAAGAAATTAAGAGCGAATCCAAAGTCACAGCCAACTCTGAGAGAAATTAAACTCTATCAAACACAATATTCTAAATTGATAAATCAGGAAATTGAATGGAAGGTTAAATTAATGAAACAAAAACGTTTGAGTCGGCGAATAAATGTGGAAAACTGCTAGCTTGGCAGTTGAAGAGAAGACAAAGATTAAACACGGTTACAAACTTAGAGGTTGATGGAAAAAACATTCAGAATCCAGTGGATATTAGAAAGTGTTTCCAGAGATATTTTAAAAATTATACACCCAAGGGCCGCAAGACGAAGTTGAGATTAAACAATTTTTGGCAAAAATGGACTATCTAAATTGTCACAAGAAAACAGGACAATCCTGAACTCTAAAATAACACGACAGGAGATTGAACAAGCTATTCAGAACATGCAACTTGGCAAATCTCCAGGGCCAGATGGGCTGACCTCCAAGTATTATAAGACATTAAAAGACTATTTGATACAACCCTTGATGGAGGTCAGCAATGAAATTATGGAGGGGAAGAGGGCACCGGATTCGTGGAAGGAAGCGTTCATCACATTAATACCAAAGTCAGAAGCTGAAAAGACACAACTGAAGAACTACCGTCCCATCTCTCTTTAAAATGTGGATTACAAAATATTTGCAGATATTTTGGCAAGCAGATTTAAAAAAAGTATTAAATGAAGTAATTCATAAGGACCAGGCCGGTTTTCTCCCAGGTAGACATCTGTTTGCTAACACAAGGAACATTATTGACATTTTGGAACTTCTGCAAACAGATATAAATACAAAAGCAGTTTTAATTTTCATAGATGCGGAGAAGGCCTTTGACAATATTTCTTGGAAATTTATGATGGGAAATTTAAAAGAGATGGGAGTGGGACGGGGTTTTGAGAATGGGATTGAGGCGATATATTCAGAACAGAAAGCTAAACTGATAGTTAATAATGTGGTCACAGAAGAGTTCAAAATTGAAAAAGGGACACGACAAGGTTGCCCTCTTTCCCTTTGTTATTTATTTCGGTTCTGGAAGTGCTACTGAACATGATTAGAGGGGATCGGTTGGTGGAAGGAATTCAGGTTGGTCAGAAACAATATAAACTAAAAGCTTTTGCAGATGACCTGGTTTTGACCCTGCAGAAGCCAGAGCCCAGTACGAAAAGAGTATTACAATTGATTAATGATTTTGGTCGGGTGGCGGGATTTAAATTAAATAAACAGAAAACTAAGGTTTTGGGGAAAAATTTGACTGATACAGAGTCAGAACGGTTTCAGAATGAGACGGAACTTAATGTGGTTAAAAAGTAAAATACCTAGGGGTAAACATAACAGCAAAAAATCTAAGTCTATTTAAGGATAACTATGAAAAATGTTGGGCAGAAATTAAGAGAGACTTAGACAGTTGGTCAAAATTGAAACTTTCTTTGTTAGGCCGAATTGCTGCTATTAAGATGAATGTATTGCCAAGGATGTTGTTTTTATTTCAAACACTTCAGGTTTTGGACAAAACGGAGTGCTTTCAGAAGTGGCAGAGAGATATTTCGAAGTTTGTCTGGCAGGGCAAAAAGTTTAAGATATTAACTGATGCAAAACAAAGAGGGGGCTTTGCCCTGCCGGACTTAAAGTTGTATTATGAAGCCGCAGCGTTCTGCTGGCTAAAAGACTGGCTACTTCTTGAAGACACTGATGTGTTGGATTTGGAAGGGTTTAATAATGTTTTTGGATGGCATGCATATTTATGGTATGACAAAGTTAAAGCAAATAAGGCCTTCAAGAACCATATTGTCAGAAAATCATTGTATAATGTCTGGACAAAATATAAAGACTTGCTGGAAAATAAAACACCAAGGTGGCTTTCACCTTTGGAAGCTAAGGCCCGAAAAAGACCCAATATGGAGGCTAAATGGCCAAAATATTGGGAAATACTAGAAAAGGATGGAGACAATTGGAAATTGCAGAGTTTGGAGAAAATGAAAGACAAAGTGCGAGATTGGTTACATTACGCTCAGATTAAAGAAGTTTTTAAAAATGATAAGAAACTAGGGTTCCAGGTGGAGAAATCGAAATTAGAAACAGAATTGTTAGAACCAAAGACTAAGGTACTTTCAAGGATGTATAACTTGCTGTTGGAATGGAATACACAAGATGAAATGGTTAAATCGGCTATGATAAGGTGGGCACAGGACATTGGGTATAATATTATGTTTGAGGACTGGGAAAAGTTGTGGAGTAATGGATTGAAATTTACTGCATGTAACGCTCTGAAAGAAAATGTAATGAAAATGATTTATAGATGGTATATGACCCCAGTTAAACTTGCAAAAATTTACCACCTGTCTGATAATAAGTGTTGGAAATGTAAAGAGTGTGAGGGAACGTTCTTCCACCTCTGGTGGACCTGCCCTAAAGTGAAGGCGTTCTGGGAAATGATTTATAATGAATTGAAAAAGGTATTTAAATATACCTTTACCAAGAAACCAGAGGCTTTCCTTCTGGGTATTGTCAGCCAAGGGGTGGCAAAGAAGGACCAGACATTTTTATGTATGCAACAACAGCAGCAAGGATACTTCTTGCAAAACATTGGAAAACTCAAGATTTACCCACACTGGAAGAATGGCAGATGCAACTGATAGACTACATGGAACTGGCTGAAATGACCGGCAGAATCCGTGACCTGGGAGAAGAGAGAATCGAGGAGGATTGGAAGAAATTTAAGAACTATCTACAAAAATATTGTGATTTGAGTGAATGCTAAATAAGATGCTAGACTAAATAACTGAGCACCACTTAACTTAGAAGTTTTTAAGAAAACAAGTAAGACTGTGAAAGTTTAACTCTTTATGAGAACTATAAGATTATGAAACATTGAAGAGATATAAGAATTTAAATAAGATGATAAATTGCTGACAAAATGTTATAACGATGAAAGTGGGAGCGGGGGATGTGAGGAAGTCCAAAGAAAATGTGAAACTATGTTAAGACAAATGTTATATTGTTTATTATGTTTATTCTTATTGTAAAACCCAATAAATTGCTTTAAAAAAAAAAAACAGAGTCGGTCACGACTGGACCTAATGGTCAGGGGTCCCTTTACCTTTTTGTTAATTTCTCT